TGAAGAAATAATATAGTGCTCACTGAATAAGTGAAAAAGGTAAAATAATAAGAGCAGTAAAATACTCACATGTGTATGAGCAGGGTATACTGCTCACTTTAGTAGCGTAGGTGGTATTATCCCCACCTGGGATTCTTGAGCATATGCGTATTCCAATATAGTAGGTACCAGGTTTCAAAATAAAAATAAAAAGTAATATTATATAATAAAAAATATATATAAAAGCTAATAAAAAGACCAATATAATTTTATTAATAATAACAGAGTGAATAAAACTATAATATATATGAATACAGCCAAAACGCGTTTCGTCTCACAGGGCTTTTTCAATTGGCAGTAAGAAAATATGCATATTTATATAGTTTAAGTCTACGTGTATATTTATATAATTATTTATGTAATTTTGTATATGGACATGTATATTTCGTATTATTTTTATTTATTTATATATACATAGATATATATACAAATTCATTCTAAGTGTATTTTGATATAAATATATATATATTAATTTTAAAATACAGTTAGAATAAAATTTCATATAGATATATAATTTTTTTTATTTTTATTATTATTTTAAAAAAATTATTTAATTTAAATTACTTATTTTTTATATATTTTATAATAATAATATATATACAATATATATAGTTATTATATATATTATATATATACGTGTGTAATTTAATTATAAGTGTATTTTTATATTTTTATATTTTTATATTAATATAAGTACATATTAATATAAAAATACACTTAGTATGACATTATATATATGATATATAGGCATATATTATATAGATTTAATATATGTCTATATATCATATATACACATATATAATTATTATTATTTTTTTAATTAACACTAACTTTATTTTATTTTTTGATTTTACACTAGCAGGGAGATTGCCTGTCAGCACAGACAGTCCCCCTGCAGGCAGACACATGGACACCTATTGTGACCATGTGATCGCTGTGTTAAGCGATCACATGGCCACAGGGGTCCTAATCCAGTGTGGGGAGACTGTCTGGGCTGCAGGCAGTCTCCCCACAACCGGAGCGCTACGCTGATCGCCGCCGGGGGAACGACGGCGATCAGGTAAGTAGCTCAGACCGTTAGGACGGTTCAGGACCGTCATCGGTCGGCAAGCCAAAAATGCCGATGACGGTCCTGAACCGTCCTCGGTCGGGAAGAGGTTAAGGAGTGTTGGGTCACTATTGTGATGGGTTTTAAAGTGATTTGACAGGGAGTGCTTATCAAAACCTCTTTTGATGTTATAGACATGTTCTCTAAGTCTGACTTTTAACACTCTTTTCGTTTGTCCCACATATTGGAGGCCACAAGGGCACTCCAACATGTAGATCACTTGCTTCGTGTTACAAGTAATACATTCTTTAATGTCAAATATTTCTTTTGTGGTTGATTTAAAGGTGGTATAATTTTCTCCCTTTGGATTTAGTTTACATATATTACATGTACCACATTTATAAAAAACATTTTTTCCTGTTAAAAAATTATTGTTTTTCACGGGTTTATTGTAGCTATGTACTAATTTATTTCTTAGTGTGGGTGCACCCCTAAACACAACCCTAGGTTTTTTAGTTAGGACTTCAACTAAAAACGGATCCTGACACAGTAAGTGCCAATGTTTTTGTATACTTTTTTTCAGGAAACCTCACTGGGTGCTGTAGTTGAAAACTAGGGGGCAAAAATCTCCCATAGTATTATTTTGTTTTACCTCTTTGGCTAAAAGTGTTGAGCGTTCTATAGTTTGTATTTTCTGAACAGCTGTTTTTAAACAACTCTCGTCACAAATTGTTGTTTTACTTTTTGTAGCTGTGAATTGCAAACATCCGGATCTGTGCAGTTCTTCTTCACTCTCAAAAATTGGCTAAAGGGAACTCCCGATAGCCAAGAGGGATAGTGGCAACTAGAAGTCCAGATGTAGCTATTCACATCTACACTTTTGAAAAAAGTTTTGGATTTTAAGACCCCTTGTTGGTCTACGTATAATACTAGATCTAGAAAATCTATTTCTGTGGGGCTGAATTTGTACGTAAAAGTCAAATTATACTCATTATCATTAATATAGGCAAGAAATTTCAGTAGCTCTGATTCTTTTCCTTTCCAAACAAAAAAACAGTCGTCAATGTACCGTCTATAGAAGACCAGGTTCGCCCCCCACTGATGGCCCTGCCAAATAAACAAGTTCTCCCAATGAGCCATGAATATATTAGCATAACTGGGAGCGAACCTGGTCCCCATAGTGGTGCCATTGACTTGAAGATAAATGTCCTTTTCCTACCAAAAAAATTATTATTTAGTATGAAATCTATACATCCAATAAGGAACTCTACTTGTTCTATCAACATAGTGGGGTCTTCATATAGAGTTTTCCTCACTGCCTTAATTCCCAAATCATGTTTTATTACAGTATAAAGGGATGTGACGTCACATGTCACCATAATAAAGTCTTCTTCCCATCTGAGGCCTTCTATATTTTTCAGCAAGTCCCCACTGTCTCTCAAATAGGACTTAGCTTGGAAAAAAGAGCATTAAAAGAGCTATGTGAAAATAGAGATATTACAGTGAAACCAGCGGATAAGGGAGGGGGGGTTGTCATTCTCAGCACCAAGGATTACGATATAGAATGTAGGAGGATACTTAACGACTCATTAACCTATAAACAATTACAGAAAGATCCTACTTTAGACATGAAAAAGAACTTATTTAATATTTTAGAAAAAGGAAGATTCTTAAACATATTAAGTAAAAAAGAATTGGAGTTTGTTATGGTTATCCATCCAGTAAAACCTGTGTTCTACCAATTACCAAAAATTCACAAAAACCTGAAGAATCCCCCAGGCAGACCCATAATTTCAGGGATAGGGTCCCTAACATGTAATTTATCACAATACATTGATGAGATCCTACAGCACCTCGTGAAGAAAGCTAAGTCCTATTTAAAATCCAAAACTTTTTTCAAAAGTGTAGATGTGAATAGCTACATCTGGACTTCTAGTTGTCACTATCCCTCTTGGCTATCGGGAGTTC